AAACTATACCATCATCAGACTGAAAATACATACAAAATTAGGAGCTTACACGATGAATCTACTCGGTCTGTCGTTCATTTTTATGTTCTCAAATTATCATCTGGTTCTGGCTTTTGGAGTAATATCCGAAACACTGATGAACAAGAATACAAGTTAGCTGTAACTATTTAAGCTCCTAATTTTGTATGTATTTTCAGTCTGATGATGGTATAGTTTACGGAAAAAATTTGAGTAAAACTATGAAACTGAATTAATCATCCATGAAAATTGGCTTTCCCTTGTGGTTACGAATCTCTGTCAACAAACGAAATTTAAATTGTTTTGAGTAAACTACAAGGAATGAATTACATGAGACTTACCACTGTCCATCTCAAATCTACCTAGGCGAGTGTTGGTCTGGACCGGAAGCGGGGGAGACTTATAATCGGGCGGGAAGTTCTGACAAGTGCGTCACCAAAGGTTTTGAAAAATGTGATCCTAACGACAAACAAGAGTGCGTCGGCGATAAGAAGATCAATTTTGTTTATGGAATTGATGTTACAGGTACTAGAAAATTAAAGTTACGTAAGCCCGTGTCATGTACCTGTATTGAGGTGGGGCCGGCATACTTACAATATGAAATGGTTTATATTAGTTCTGTTTCTTTTCGACGAATTTTCCCTTGAGTTAAAAAAACTTGCAGAAATTTTATATTGATAATGATCTTTATGCTTTTCGTCAACAATAACGGAAATGCATTTAAACAGGAGTTCGACAAAAATGACGACTTATCGCCTGAGTGTTTGATTCACCTCCTTGAATGCAACGTTCTTGGTTATGAAACCATGCAATAGCAGCAGGAGTTGTAAACGTGAAAGGAACATTTTCATTTGTTGTAAATGTTGTAATGTGCTATTTCTTGTTCCACAGGAACAGTTATCACTCCAACAAAGCCTGCTACTCCAACACCACCAGAGGAGCCCTGTAAGTCAGGAATCACTATTGACATTGTTCCTCTCCAACTAAATTGTCCTGTAACAGTAATTAAGATAGCCTGAGGGAAAACTTTTATGTTGTAGAAGTGTTGAGCCCACATCGTGAACAGTGACTGCATCAAATTGCTGATTACTAGACAACAATTAGCCAAATGCCACCGGCGTAATCAAAAGCAAAATACCTCAGTCAATTCGAAACAAAGACCTACCTTTTTTTTTAAATGTCTTCCTTTATCAGTGGAGCAGCTGTAAACCTTTGTTTATGTTGTGCTGGCCAAGGTTGAACAAACTACTTCCTTGATTTTCTCTCTAACTCAGTATGTGATCAAGCTTTGGATATTGGGGTGGTCATTGACTCGTCAGATAGCATAACATTGGAGGATTACAACCTGTGCTTGAATTTTGTGGCCGATTTAGCCAAGCGTTTTAAAGTATCAGAACAGGAGACTCATTTTGGAGCGATAGTATTCAGCACAACACCTCAGCTTCAATTCAGTTTCGCGGACAAAGAATTTTACAAACTTAAACGCCTGAGAAAGAAGATAAGGAGTTTTCCTTATTTGGCAGAGGGAACTAGAACGGACTTGGCCCTTACTCTTGCTGACTTGGAGCTGTTTTCTGAGCAGGGAGGAGACCGGCTCTATAAGCCTGATGTTTTGATTGTTATTACTGATGGAAGAACTCACCCTGTGTTAAGCAAACCATACCCAGAGGTTTTACAACCACTCCAGGTAAATAATCCAGTTTTCTAGTAAATCTTTTGAGGAGTTTCCCGCACTTTTGTAATTTTAAATTTTCTCAGTTTTTCCTATTATTCCATTAGTGTAACAAAAAAAACATATAACATGACATGTTCTGTAGTGTGTTAGTCAGTTGTGCAGTCAAAGAAGACAGAAGGCAATTAAAGCTTAAGTATATTTGCTCTTGCTTGATAGGCTAAGAATGTTAGTGTCATAGCTGTTGGCGTTGGAAAGGATGCGGATAGTAAGGAGTTAACAGCCATAGCCATGAATGATAAGAGTCACGTGTTAAAGGTCGATCAGTACAAAGATTTGGTAAAAATTCTCGACGTTCTCTTAAAAGAATCATGCAATAGAGGTTAGTATGGCCCAAGCCGATCGCGTTTCTTAATAGTTTTCATGAACGCTTTTTTTAATCAAATTGATGAACAAGCATCGTATAGAATATTAGCAGGCGTGATGATAATAAACCCTACCTTATGTTGAATTAGTGGGTACGAATCTCGTAATCGACATTTCTTCTCTCAGTCACAAAAAGAACTTTCACGATTCCACTTTTTTTATAGGGGTCTTGGATTTAAATGTGGCTTAAATAAGAATTGATGTCAGTGTTTTTATCACCCACAGCTAAACCTCTTACCGCCATCAAAACACCTCCTCTGTCACCTACAATGGCTGCTAACCTTCGTAAGTTGTATCAGGAAAAAAAGAATGTTAGATAACCATCGGCTTTGTTAGCAAACTTACACTTCAGTTATTATCTAGTATTAGTCCAATATAATACAATTTACTTCGTAAGTTCCGTCTTTCTTTTTCTTCCAGGTAAATGTAACATCGAGTACCAAAAGCTTGGCTGCTTTGTGGATAAGGAGCGTAAGACTAGTGCACTTGCTCTACCTGAAAAGATGTTGAACGAAATCGTAAACTGGGATCAGTGGAATGTTTGGCTTCCAGATTTCGTGTGCAGATGCGCCAACTTAGTTTATGAGAAAAACTATCATGTGTTTGGGATTCATTTTTTTGGTATGTTCACCTGTTTCTCACTTAACGTCTTTAAAATGAATGTCGCTCAGTTATCGGCAAAATCTCAAGTAGTCTTGTGACCTTAGACTTTATCACGGCCATCGAGAAAAAGGATTAATTTGACTATCTGAACCTCTAGGAGAGTGCTGGTCTGGTGTCAAGGCCGGTGATACATACAATATGTATGGTGCAGCAGAGCAGTGTTTAGATACCAACCAACAGCAGTGTGGCGCCCAGTCAGTCGGAGACTGCTCAGGAGACCAGAATTCGAGTTTCGTCTATCGCATTGTTATCTCTCAAGGTTAGTTTTGATACTAATTTTGAATTATTTTTTGCGGTAAACTTCGAGTGGTTATATTTTGAACCCCGTAGCTTGTCGTGGATAGTTAAGACAATTATGTTCTTATATTGTTGTTTTGGCGGTTCCCCGCTTTTACCTTTATGAAAACCTTCATATTGCTGACTTCCAAATTGTAGAATGTAACTAATAAGCTCATCCTCATTTTTACAACAGGTGCACAAGTAGAACCCTCTCCAGTCCCTGAGACAGCTATAAAAAGAGATGGATTAAAGGGTAAGAGTTGCAGCAAACACTTCAACTACCTTCCACGATCATGATTTATGTTCTCTTAATCTATGGCTTGTGACTAGGTTAAATTTTCGTTACGGAGCCCATATAGCTCTAATAAAGAGCTGAAATGAGATGTAATTGATTTTTTTTAATAGAGAACTGTCTGGTGGACTTCACAAAGAGAGGTTGTTTTAAAGATTTGCAAAGTCGGAGACCTTTGCCGCAACTGATGTTAACAGATCTTGACATGAACAACGCCAAGTTTAGCGGTTTCTCAGTAGACTGGGGAAGCTGGAACAGTTATCTGGAGGATGTCGTTTGCCGTTGTGCTCAGATTTCGCGATCAAAAGGTTTTGATTATTTTGGACTGGCAAATTTTGGTGAGTGTCTGTAGGTAAGGACTTGTCACGGTAGCTGGCCTGACTGAAGGAGTAATTTTCCTAAGGTTCTATTTCTCATTAAGTATGATTGTGAGTGGCACCATGTTGCTGATCATTAAGTTATTTTCATTTCAAGCTAGAACTTTTTCAAGTCTTTACTTCCTCGTTTGGAGTCAATCCAATTTTTTCTTTGTGAAAACTTGAGTTTGCTTTGACGTGACAGGTGAATGTTGGTCTGGAAAAGATGCTGGAAAGACATATGAAAAAGAAAGCAGTTCTCCATTCTGCATTACAAAAGAATTCGCTGAATGTAATACAGAAGATGAAAGTGTTTGCAGTGGAAACAAGACCACTGCGTTCATCTATAGTGTGAAAGAGAATATGAACACCAAGAAAGGTAATCATGGAAGCGTACACTGAGTGGAATAATTAGTCGTTAGTCATAATGTATTTACTCTTTTACATGTACGACCTCTTAACGCACTGATCACAATTCATTGAAAGAAATTTAAAGAAATTGCAGAAAGGAACCTGTAAAAATTCAGACTCGAACGGGATTTGACTGAACATTGCTCTTGCTCTCTCTCTCTCTCTACAATAGGTATCCTATCGCGAGCTTCATATGAAATATTTGAAATAGAGCATTTCCTTCTCGATGTTATCAGTAAGTGTTGAGCAAAGGTATTTTTTGTTAGCTGTGCCCAAAATCCGTACTCAGTTTTTTCTTTCCTTCGTTCTCCAGGGAAAGATTGCTTCACTCAATTTCAAAATGTCGGGTGTTACGCAGACAAAAAAATCAGTCCTCGTCCGATTCCAGAACTTATTTTTACCGATATGGACATAAAATCACCAAAATACAGCGGTAAGAAAGCGCAGTTAGGGAAATTGCACACCTACATTGATGATGTTCTCTGTCGGTGCGCTGAGCGTGCCCAGGAGCTTGGTTATGAGTACTTTGGAGTGCAGAATCACGGTAAAGAACTTTACTTTAATGTTAAATTCATAACATTGACTTTTTTCATTATTAACGCAAGTTGTTCGTTATTCAGCTCACTTTCAGCGTATAATCTTTCCGAACCGCTAATGTGTTTTAGCGTAATTATTTAAGATCCCTCTTTAGCGACCGCATCTTCTTCTTTCTCGTCATACGGATTTAAACAGCAAAAATAATTTCCATGTAAATTGATTTTTCACGGTTTTTTGTATTTAAGAGGAATCAGAATGTGGAGGTTTTATAGAACGTTATATTTTTCAGGTGAGTGTTTCTCGGGAGACAATGTCGAGCAAAGCTACTACAAAGATGGTTCATCAAAGCAGTGTATCACAAGAGACTTCCAGCAGTGCCCAGAAATAAAACCTGGTAGTAAAGAGTCTCAGCGAGGCTGTATCGGAGTGCAAGGTTCTAACTATGTTTACCACGTCGGAAATTTGACGAAAGAAGGGAAAATAGACGCCGAGAAAGTACATCTGGGAAATTGATAGGAATTTCGATTATGTAGTAGTCGACTCCAAGAGCATTCATTTGGGATATCTGGAAGCATCCCCAGTTTCACCCAATAGTTTGGCGCTGTTTAGTAGAACTTAAATCAATATTTTTGGAACTTTACAGTCTGTGCAAATTTCCTGTCTATACATTCATAGCATTCAGAGTTTCTCTTTCTAATTAACTTAGAGTCAAATCACCTCACACCCAATGGCACGCCAAGTGAACCTATCCTGGAATTTAACCAATTATTTTCACGCGTCTTTCAAGGCGCTGTCAGTGAGATGTAACAAAGACCCTCACTAGACCCAAAGTCCACAGAATTTATCTGAACTATCGATTAAAATTTTTTGTTGGCACGGTCGCTCGCATGGATCACCACCCCAAAATTCACTCGAGAGTGAATTGCTCCAACTCTAAAATCACCCGACAGGCGCTTAGCTGAGCAGACGTGATCATTGTTTGGGTAAATTCTATACAAATGTGAGATCCATAATCGTATTTGTTACAAATGTTTTGTACCAGGTCTATTCATCCAGTTTAGTTTAATTTTTTATTTTTTGAGCTGTACAGATTGACAACTGGGAATTTGTTTTCATTGTCTCTCTGGACAACCAGCCAGAGGCTGCTCCTCGTTTATGNCCAACGCAAATGCAGACCAATAAAATGTCGTCGAACTTTAAAAGGAAACTATACTCCTTCAAGAGAGGATTGAGAGACTCCTTATGGAGTAAAACACGAAAATTCTGGGTGACCACCGGAAAAATGAGAAGATTGTCTGCAAAAATCCTTATTATTATACTAAATCGATGGAGATGATTGCCATAACGGCCTCAAATGTACAAAAATAGATATTAAATTGACATAATTAAGCGTACTACTGAGTAAGGACTCTTTGACTCTCAGAGTCAATGGACTCTGAGGTAAATAATTGTCAGTCGACTTAACAGACAAACCGGACCATACGAACTAAAAATTTTTTTTCTGCCGGACGTTTAACGGCTTTAAAACTTCTTCACACGATGGTCATGAGCAATGAGCAATTTCTTTCAACAACAATTTTAAATTTATTGCTCAAAAATGTCTGTAAAACACCTAATGTTTCCTATATCTCACTTTCATGGTGCTCTTCAGTAAACTGAAAATTTAATTACTTGCGTTTATTTCAAATATCTTTTCACAGGCAGAAATTTGAGCCAATTTCTTCAACTTGAAAAGAGCCCTCATTAGCCCACCGATAGCTCGACCATCGCTCGACCATAGAGAAAATAAACGGTTTACTTGCTGGAATTGGCAAATTAAGATTTACAAGTGATGAATAGAAATCACAAAAGTATCGCCCCCTTCTGCCATCTCCTTTAAACGAACTAACACTTTCTTAATGAGCATACTTAAATCGGCTCCATTTTTGCTTGACTAAACCAATAATTCAACCAATAGAAAACTTAAAACAAGATTTTCCTACCTAGCCGCTCAGTTAAAAGTCCTGTCGGTCCATCTAGAAACTGCTCGGGACAAATAGCATCAGTATGTCTAAGACGTTAGTCTCAGTAGAACATAACCAGAGGATAGAAGCCTGAAGCTAAATGCAAATGCAAATGCTCACGTTTCAGTCATTCCACTAACAGACCCAGTAAGCAGGTAAATCAAAGCATGTGGTCAAACCATTGAAATTTGTATGGGTGGAGCCAGTCAAGTCTGGTCTACATGCATTCTTGACGAGTAACATCTGTCTGTAATAAATGCAAGTTAATGAAAATAATTTTTGCAAACATAGACAAGCGACACGTGAGAACCATAAAAAAGCAACAAAATAATTTGGACTTCTTTCGCAATTGGCCTTATTATGAGCGATATGACGATAAACCGAATAGACATGTAAGAATTCTGACGTCATGAAGTCAATTGGCGTTAAATGGAAAGGCTGTCCCGTGGTGAGCTAATGAGTGATTTGTTACCCGCAGGGATATTTCCCCAAATTTTTAAGGAAATACAATTGCTCGATTTATATGGCATTTATTTAAAGCATGGAGAAATATTTCCACCTTATACATTTTGCTTGCCTTATTTCATCTCTTCTGTGGAACGTCAAGGGCGCTTATTATCTAAAACCGACAGGTAAGTGTTCGAAAACATTTCCGAGACAACAGGACTAAACAACCAGAAAAATAGAACCAGACAAGAGTAAACACGACGGGTGACCTGTCAAAATAAGGACGAACCATTCCAATTTGTTATTTCGTACTCTGCCTTTGATCGAAATAATCCTCTTTGTAAAAATCGAAAGGAAGAGTCTACTGCTCTGCCGATACTAATTTATCAGCATACGTCACGCTTTTTATCTCGCAAAGTCCTCTTCGGGTGCACTGTCATCCCTGTTTGTTTGCCCGCTTCATCCAATGAATACATTGGAAAGTCCCAGTATTTACATAGAAGGGGCACATAATAATGAGCTCAACAGCTTGTTGTTTACTCTTCGAGGAATTTCTTGAAAATGATACATGTATTTATTTAAGATCCTTTTAAGCTCAGGATTTAATCGAAGAAATAAATCAAAGACCTACAAATATGATGACTACAGGTCACTGTCTTTGACAATGCATCATGGCTTACAGCAGATCTCTTGCTTACAGTCATCTTTAAAAGTTTACTTGTAAAGGTAGCCAGAAAAAATTGAAATATGTGTAATTTTGAAAGTACAAACACATCGGACACATGACAAGATCAACGAAACTAAAGTCCACTGTAAAATAAAATTGAAACTTTTGAATTGAAATTGGAATTGAAATTGAAACGAAGACAGAGATAACCGGAAGGGTATCTTGTTTAATCCTTGTCCCCCATTTGTCAAGTCTTTATGAGTCAATTTACCCCAGCAAATGTGGTCAGAGCTTTCGAAATGCCTTCGAAATGCGCGATCGTGTTTCTTCACTTTCACCGTCATGCGTTGCAATTTTTTCGATTACAGGTCGATTCGAGATAACAGAGATCCCATTGCCATCGTCCGTTATTGAACAAATAAACAAGAATACTGCGTCAGTCACACCCAACCCAAGCCGAATAAATGCTACTGGTGTTCAAATCGTTACAGCAGTAACAAGAATTTCAAACACATCTCAAGTTCCAAAGCCAGGTAAATTTATCACTAGACTACAAGCTACCTCTATTGTAAGTACTTCTCCTTTGACGTCTTTTCCTATAAAACCAAGCGGTTGCACCATGCACCGTTTCCGATCAGTTCAACAAACAGACCTAAGTCTATATTTGAAATACTGATAACTTACAAGATCGCGCAAAAGGTTCTACTATTTTGGAAACCTTGGAGATGGATAGGTGAAAAATTCTTTCCTCTCATGGTAAAGTTTAAGAATGGTAAAAAAGCAAACTTATGTGCAATGTATTCAGTTTCTGCTTCAGCTGCATCACAGCAACCATGCCCAACTACGCCCACATGTTCTTGTCCATGTCCGAAACCTTCACTGAGTAGTAATCCACTGAGTCTTCGTCCTCTTCCCTCCCAAAATAACAACACTTGGTGCACCTCAGTGTGTATTTGCCTTTGTATCGGTGGTGCTCCTGTCCCCATCCAGCCTCCCACTGCCGAATCTAAAGGTAAAGCGGCTTTGACTACTCCTAACCTAAAAGTCACCAGTCCCATGTCAAACCGGTCAACTACAGCAGTACCTTCCAGTACTCCAACGATCTCAAAGATGTCCAGATCAGTCTCTAATGTCTGCCCTGAAACTGCAGGTACCTGCACGTTCTTGACTGTTTTTGTTTTAACCGTTCTTCATTCAGTTATTTCGTTCGTGAAATGCTTCCCTTTTCACTGAATCAACTCCTGCTTATTTTATTAACAGCACTTTTCCTTCGCTTTCAGTTTTTTCCACTTCCGAAACTCATCTGAGTTCGTTAAGAACAAGTAAGAGTCTATAGCTACTTGTTTTTCATAGCTACCCTTATGAAGCAAACCAGTGTTAACTTTACACGGTCAAGTAATGCGCACATCAACGAAGTTGAAGTAAACGAGGCTGATTTGATTAGTTCAAATGTGTGACTATCGCTAGGTTTCTGAGTGTTTAAAATACTGAAAAAACTGCAATGATGGCATATGTTAGCGATCATTGGGAAAAGGAAGGATTTGTATGTATCTGTGATAAATAAATTGAGCCGACAGCCTCGAGGTTGCTTAATGAATTCGTGCTAGCGTTATCTTTAATCTTAACAGAGGTTGTTTTACAACGAAATCCCTCTCTTACAGGTCAAAGTAGACCCAGTGCGACACTCAGTCCAACCATCACAGAATCGATGCTCCCTTTTCAGAAAGGTAAATATTTATGTTCAAACATACTTTGAGAATAAATCTATATATTGAAAACAAGTAATGAGAATTTGTCATGGTTCGTTCGGCACTAGTAACTTATTTTCAAGCTTGAATACCACCTCGGCCCGTACTGAATAAAACTGTAACGTGTGGCTTCCTTTCCGACTGTATTTTCCTATTCTTCCTATTTGACATAGTTATGTGTTTCAACAGAATTTTGTGTTTGACAACACCTTTTGATTGCCATTGCAAAGAGAATTAAACTTATCAACGGTCATTCTGAGCCATATCTCATGTGAGTTATATTTATATTCTCTAACACTGGGTTTGTACTTACAGGCCCCGCAGAAAACTAAAAGTCACCAAGGTACTTCCTAAAAGGTGTGGTTTGGTTGTTGTGATTGACGATAAAGCAGCAACTTGGTCCTAAAGGGGTATATTGTGGCATTTGCAAAATGGGTAACACTCTTATTTCTTTGCAATTGCTGACAGGAATTTAGAACCTGTAGCCACTCGACGGGTCAGCTAAGCTCCTGCGTGAAAGTTAGCTAAGCTCAAGGCGTGGTTACGACTAGTTTTATCAAAAATTTGACATGCTTATATCTACATTAATAATATACATGAAAAAATTTCTCAGTTCCGATTGGTTAAGATGAATGCAGTTTTCAGTTAATTCAGTGCAGAAGAGAGTTGATTCAATGCAGAAGAGGGTTAATTCAGTGCAAAGAAAGAAACAAACCAGACATTCNCACTAACTTCAGCAAAGCTTGTGACGTCACCTGAAACCCAACAATATTCGTGAAAAAGATGCATCATACTGACAGAAACGCATTTTAACTAAGTTTAAGTTGGCATCAAAATAGCATTCAGCACCAGTTTACTTTTGTATGATCTGCTGGGGAATAAACGTAACATTTGGGGAGGAAATACATGTATGTTGAAGAAAGAGAATAATAAAATAACACTGAGAGTGCTTACTTCTACCAAGCTTTGATTATTATTTTATTAGAGAGGGCATACATATACGAAAATATGCCGACTAAGTGCGTTTTAGAAGGATGTAGCAACGTGTGAAATTTGCAAGAGGGTATCGCGCTTCATACATTCCTCACACAACATACCTGGTCGGCATATTTCGGACAATATCGACGAAAACCTTCCCAAACAAGTGAAAATGTGTGAAATGCAGACTTTCGTGTTCTCGCTTTGACGTCACATTACTCGCTAGAGCCATTCCTCTTAAAACTCGGTCGTGGGGCGAGATGGCGGCCGATGTTCCGTATTTTGACCGGGCACAGAAAAGTAAAGATTTGAACAAATTAAAAGATTTTTGCACAGAAATAGTTAAAAAAAATAAGCTTATTTCGTTAGGCGAAAAAAAATTTTTGGGTTTAGGTGCACTTTAACTTCTGTTGCAATGGATACATAAATTTTTCTCAGTCTACAATGTAAGTTATGGTCGGTAAAAAATTCAGTGGCTGAAAATCGTGTAATTAGCGAAGCAAATGTCCCTGACAGACCTCTGGAATCTCCATAACAAGGTTTTAAAAATAAGTAACACACTGCAGAACGCCTTTCAACAGTATGCTGGCTAGCCGACTTAATCATAATTTGCTACTTGTAGCGAACGTTTCAGTTCCACTGATTTCGTTGCAATTCGAGAATAAACCGATTGTAGAAGACATTAGCTACTGTTTCTATTCCAAAACTTCATTTTTGGCAAAAAAATAATCTCAAACAAGGGAGACATTATTTTTTTAAAGTAAGTTTCTCCTAAACATGACATCATTTTTAAGGAATTAAACAAAGTTCCCACTTTGACAAATGGGAGATGCAGATAACGATTTTAACAAAGTTCCCACTTTGACAAATGGGAGATGCAGATAACGATTTTTCAAAGCTGTAACTCCTAATTAGAATGTGTGCTTAAATTTTATCCGTTTTAATTAAGAGAGCAAATAAAGAAAACGGTGGCTTTTTTGATCGGCTTCCGTGATTCCTATATGAATCATGACTTCTGATCAAACATAGCTAATAAGAAAGGGAAATAAAAACTAAGATCACTCTACATATTTAGATTGAAATTCTTTTCAGATATCCCAATTCTACATACTGCATTGATTGTCCGTTAAATTCACACGACTTAAAGTCATATATTGACTCCTAGGAACAGTAAAACGACATTTGTGTTGCGATGAAACCAAAATATAGGCGGAAATCCGTTCAAGCGAGTAAGTTTAGTTTGACAACTAGTGCAGGTGGTTCCTCTGTAAGTAGCCATTATTCGTTGTTTGGAAATCACAGGCGAGAAAAAAAGATTAAAGAATACTAAATTATAGATGAACTATGTCATTGTTTATGGATATGGATGAGTCAAGGAGTTAATAGTTCGTGTTAAGCACTCCTGCGTTGTAGAAAAGGGAAGTATGGCGATGGAGTGTGCCAGTATAACTTGGCTGGTTTTGGTCGCATTGAGCTTCACCTCGTGTCACTTTTCAAATGTGAACGGTAATTTACTTCAATACATCAATTAAGATAGTTGGGATTAAGATAATTGACAGACAATTGGTATTAAGTCAATTTTATCTTCCACTCTAACTCTACAATGAGTCGTCATTTAAGAAACGTTTGCGAATTAACCGCCCCATACTTGACATGTGCTAATCATTGTCTAAATTAAGTTGTAGTGTTTGCAAAGGCTATGGTGCATGGCTTTTATTCAGATTTTCGTAGTTTCAATAGTAACGAGGAGTTGTTTGATTACCCAATTTGCTATCAAAACGAAAATGCAGTTTCCTTTAGTAGTTTATCTGTGGGGAAATAAGTCAAATTATTTGCAATCATTGATAGCAATCTATTTTATCAAGAAGTAAAAATTAAAAAAATTTGCAAAGTCTCATTTGAAATTTGAAAAAGTTACTGTATACAAAAAATGAGACAAATTTGTGAGTGACGCACTCAACCAAAAATATACGTTCAATGATAATAGCACGGGTCTCCTTTTTCTTTCTGTTGTGTGATATTCCTTGGATCTCAGAGTATACAAATATTGTTGTATTATCATGTGTTTTCAAGGAAATTTACTAACCATAAAACCTTATCACACAAAGAATGGCCTACCAGTAAGATATTCGTTTCCGGTTCGGTGACTATTATTCATCTAGCTCCGGTTGTTCGAAGGTTGGATATCGCTACATAATGCTATGCGTTTTCTATCACTTCTCCGTCGGATAGCGATTTACCCGTTGGATAGTGTTATCCCCCTTTGAACAAACGGGCCCTGAAATTAAGAATAGAGCTTTCCGCTACTGAGGAAAAGAGCCTTTGTCTGGTGCAAGCTGAACCAGCGGATACTACTGTAAAACGCGCACTAACTCAACGTTAAAAAACGTTACAACTTGCTTTGCGATAAGAAGACATCGCTTTTAGATATAATCACAGTCGCAATATTACAAAATGTAGGTTTTATTGTTGCAAATGCTGCTGCATTTCAATGTTTTGTTTAAACTATACGAGGACTAAAGTTCAACGATATGTATTTTATAAGTTTCAGAACAAAACAGGACAAAGCAGAACAAAACATTTCCTCTTCTTTCACTTAAAAGAGTGAATTTAAACAAAATCCGATTCATAACTGGCTCCCGTTTTAATATGTTATTTTTGTTGCTGTTTCACCAAATCAAGCTCATGCGTGAAGAATTTACGCTTTTTCATTTCAAACAATAACCAATTTCACTTGAGCTGAGCTTGAAAAACCCTTTCACACCACCCTAAAAATTTCCAGTTCTTTTCAAAGTTATTAGTGGCGAATCATGTTAATTCAAAATTATGGTTGTACTCACTCTATTTTATCGACGCAGGTCTTGAGTTTTCCCGCATCTTTAAGCGATATGCTGCTGCGCAGGCCCCTGCACCTGCCCCTGCTCCTGCCCCAGCTCCAGCGCCAGCCCCTGCCGCAGCAGGAGCAGCAGGTATGACGTTCGCTTGCTGATAATTACCATACATGCTCCAAAGAAACGTGCAGAACCAAAAAGAGCGCATTAGGGGAACTGTTAATAGGCACATATAAATTAGTTTCGTATGTTCCAGATACAATAGGAAAACTACTTGCTAATCTTTTCAAACAGAAACGATTAAGTTATAAAAGGATACCCACTGACTCTCAAGCAAAGTACAAATATTAACATTAGAGAAGGATACTTAAAATGAACGTTCCATTTAGTTTAGTCGTGGTCCTCTTCCTTTACTTCATTTCAAGCGAAAAAATGTGAGAAACCACTGGACATCGTATTCGTCCTTGATAGTTCTGAGAAGATTGGAAAAGAAAATTGGGAAAAAATAGTAAACGCTTCCACCACCATCGCGTCCAAGTTCAGCCTACTGCACACTCGATTTGGTGTGATTCAATACCAGTCATACCCAGAAACAATCATCAAACTTCAACAATTTAAAGACGACAAGAGTTTGTCAGCCACCTTTGCCAAAATATTTTACAAGAGTGGTGGTAAGAGGACGGATCTTGCCCTTAACAGTACGCTGGATGTGTTCAAGGCGGCAACGATACGTAGCGGTAGTAAGGTTGTGATTCTAATCACTGGGGGGCCCTCTAGTGAGGTGTTCCTCGCTCCTGGAAAATCCATTTCTGGAGAAGATCTTTTAGGAATGCCAACGGCTCAGTTACACAAAGCGGAAGTTGCTGTGTATGCAGCTGGAGTTCAAGAAGGTCTTGCCGACGCAGATAAGAAAACCCTGACCTAACAGCTTGGAATTATTGCCAGCCCACCAACTCCAGATCACGTTTTCGAACTGGCTGACTTTGCTACATTGCTGAAGGAGGCTCCGAAAATAGCTAACAAGTCCTGTATAGGTAAGATTTAAAAGCAGTATTTCTATTTTGGGTAGAAAAGTTCAGAGCGAAGATAAAATTTGAGCTCAATGAAGAGGAAGATGGTGTTTCCATCATGTCACTAGCGTGGGACAAATATACGTTCTTATAACCTTATATTATACCTTCGGATTCGAATGTAAGAGCCCTGGAGCGCAGAATCCGATGGTTTGGAGTTCAATTCTTTGGGTGGAATCAGTACCTTTCTTTTTACCTCGCTCGTAACAAGGCAAACAACATCATTTTTAGAGTTTTATTTTACTAGTTTACTTTGCTTGAAGTTTCCATCGTGTACAGAAAACTAGTTTTCCATCGCGTAAATCGGTTTGCTGAAAGCCCCCTTCTGTGCTGATTTTGAGTGTTACAGTCACACCGTCAATTAGTCGGATAGTTATTTCCTTCCTGATGTCAATTTGGTCATAAATATGATGTTACCCAGATTGACAAAAAGGAGATGAGAACCTCATTTCATTCTACACTCAACTGCCAAGTATTAACATCATGGATTTTTTTAATCGTCTGACTGTGACATTAGGTGTTTAGGGTCACTATTATCTTTGCTAAAAAAAGTTATTAATTGTAATTTATTGAATTTTTGTATTGAATAGTAAATGGAGGATGGAGTGCGTGGTCAGTGTGGTCTGAGTGTAGGCATCCCTGTATGGTGAAGATGCGAACAAGAGAATGTAACAACCCGGTCCCCGAGACAGGGGGCCTCAATTGCACCGGCCCAAAAGTCGAACAGTATCCCTGCGGATCAGCAGCTGAATGTCAAAGTAAGCATAAGTGACAACGCCTTATCCAAATGTAATACTTAAAATAGCTGTGGCTCCAGGGATGAATATTCCCTTAAACGGAACTTTAAGCTGAGATAATTACGAAACCGCTGTTTTTCTATCATTCATTTGATTACTATTAGTTCATTTATACATGTACAGTTCATACGATGACAGACTGTATCAACAAAGCAAATAAAACATTTGCAATATTACCAACAGACTTCAGATTGCTCTCAGTGTACATCCTATTATTAGAAACAATAATTCTTGCAAAAACAAAGTCATTAAATATTTTTCCTGTCCTCCGCACCAACCATAGGGTAGTATTGCATTATGAAATATGCTCTGTTTAGTGATTTATGTGATTGCATATGATTGCATTTGCTGCAGTGTAGGTCGCACAGTAAATATGAAAATTATGCACTTGATGACGGGGGCCTAAGAGAAACGATGAGTTTTTCTCCCCCGAGACTCTGAGAGTCGAGGGCAAACAAGACTCGCTGCTTCTGCGGGGCTTGTTATACCTACCAACTCATGACCAATACCTTCAAAAAAATATATTTGCTAATTTGCCGCGGTTTCAAGGTGCACGACCTAATCACGTCCATGTCAAAAGTATAAGATAAAGTTTCGCTATGGAGTTGGTGGGTTTTTTTCGTCCTTGAGAGCGAGCAAGTTTTGATTCATGATAATTGACACCTTTTCTACCATTCGAAAAGCGTTTTTGAGTTGGGTGGTATAGCAAAACAGTTAAACAGCTACACAGACCTCTAACATAGTTTTCTTTCGTCTTTTTACTCTCTCGTCAACAAACAACAGGTACTCCACAGCCGGGTAAGTTTGCTTTCAAAATGATCCTTTTTCAACAGATCGTGTTGCATTTTGATTTCACTTTATCTAAATTTTTTTAACGGAAAACCTAAGTTAAAAATCCTTCGAAATAGTGAAGATTGAATGAAGTGAAAGAGTTGTTAAGGTCGCCATTGCTAGAAAAAATTTTTACACTGGTTCAATCTATATGTGCTCTACCTGTGACTTGGTTTTCGAATGGTAGCTCTTCAAGACAATATAACAACCGCAATGCTTACTCCAAATAATTTAACTTATAGATGACGATGTTTAATACTTACTAATTTTTAACCAACGACGACGAGTTACTCGCTCTGTACTTGATTAGTCGAAATTTTCCACCGAAAGATTCCTTGACTGTATGACATTTGTCTTCAGAAAGTGATATTTAACTCACCGTGCTCTTTCAGGAATTCTCAAACTCTTAATTCTAATCAAAAAGAAAAAAAAAGAGGAAGAAAGAAACCGTCAAGGACTTATTACTGATGTAAAAGAACTAGACTGACGAAAAAAAAATGTTGTCGTCGTTTCCATGGTAACTAAGCCATAGAACAAGGGCGGGAGTTTCAAAATCTCTCGCTTCCCCCCCTCCCAAAAAATATTTTGAATATGGCAATCTGTGAAAATTGTATGCGTACCAAGAAAAAATAAGGAATGTTCGAGCGAATTTCAGATTTATCCCCACCTCAACTGTTTCTTCGCCTAAGATCAAAAAGTAAAATATATGCGAATGGTTACAACAATTAACCTTGTAACATGTCTAACAGCTAACAAACTAACGAACTGTTTTTTCCTTTCTCTTCGTCATGCCTTCTTCTAACGGTAAGTCAATAATGGCTAACGTTAATATATCTTACTATGTTATCAATTATATTAAACAATTGTCTTTGAACAAAGGCCGCGAATAAAGAAATTATATGATCAATTTGGCACACAATCATTTGTTCTTAGACTTTATTGGACAATTCATCAAATTTTCATGTAAGGCTAGCTGAACTGCGTATTTTATGCTTTTTTGCCATTGCCTACTTTATCAGGGCCCTTTTTGGTTGTGGGAAGGGGAGGTGAGCCATCTTTTTCAGTTCAACTTAATTTCTTTCGTCACAGATATTTTGTAGCATATTTTTCTCAAATTTTACAACAGAAACTAGCTGATTATAACAAAGCCAACCTCAAAATTTAGTTCGTATTTCCGCCTGATATCTCAGACCAGCCCTTCTCTTCGTTTGCCCGATGAAAGATGTTTCGCTTTTTCAGAATTTCCATACGTGAATGTTGATGATTCCAAAAACTGTTGTTCGGAAAAAATAATACTGATTCCATTTGACATGATAGGCATAGCCCTGAGTGATATTTCATAACATACAACTCAGAGCACTTATTCAAGAGCAACTATTCAAAGTGTACATCGTAAGTCATAGAATGGTACGAAAATAGGAAAGAAAGTGACAAATCTTCCGCACAATGCTGCTATGTGTTGCACTGAAACATTTATCGCTTCGGTAACATAAAGACAGGTTACAGGCTGAAACGATCCATAAAACGAGCGTGGACGTGGGTCAAGCAAGGCAAATGCTCACTCGATCGCTCGATTTGAGACGGCCCCTACATTAGGTAACATTTTCTACCTGGTATTTGTTCAAGTGTTCGAAATTTTTTCAATTTTAACGGTCAATAGGGTGGCTTTAAGCTCTTAACACTTACTACAAAGCTTTTCCAAGCATTACGAGACAATTGTCAAAGCTTATGGAACGCCAAGCGTGACAAAAATGTTGAAAACTAAAATATAGGTTGTATCACTAAATATATGTTGTACTGTGTAATAAATGGGTTGAATATTGCTTATATATAGCTTACGTTGTAAAGTTCAACATATATGTGTGTCACTTGAAAGTACAGCCTCTTATATATATAGGTTGAAAATATCGATTTTCTGGGCTTTTCCGAAAATCTTCGGAACGAGACCGACGCGCGCGTCACGAGCCTATTTCGCGTTGTAAAGGCGACGCCATAATGAACGCTGCCTACATTGGCGA